GTTTCTTGATTTATAAATGAGGTTGAGCACCTTTTGTATTATTGGACATTTTTTACATTCCATTTTGTGCAATAGCTGTTCACATAGTCTGCCTATTTTTCTATAGCTGTTGTATTTTTCTATCATTTTTTCAATTTTATCATATTCTGGATATAACCCCTTTCTTGATTTTGCACTCTTATACTCTATCACTTGGGATCAAGAATAATTTTTCCCCAGGGATATTCAACTGGATCAAGACCATTTCTTTAAAATGAGTTCCACATATTTTTTTAAAAAACAATTGTCCATTATATATGCATGGTGTTTTTCCGTTCTAATCTATGTAACTTTTTTTGCATCAATGCCATTTTGCTTCTTTCATTTCCACCTAGATTTTCCACAAAAACAACTTCGTGAGGTTTTGATTTGTATTGCATTGAATCTAGTATGGAAGAACATGAAACTAGTTGACATCTTTATAATAAAGAGTCATCAATTCGTGAACATGGTCTATTTATCTAAATAATGTGTAAAATTTCTTAATATTTTATAAATTTTTAATGTAGAGGTTCTATACATCTTTCATTAGATTGAGTCTCGGGTATTTGCAATTTGTGATCATTATGCACATCAGCTTTAAGTTAAAAATTTATTTCTGTTTAATAATGATATATATGAATATGTTGTATTTTTGTTTTGTTTTAACATGTTATTAATTCTAGTAATTTATCTACAAGTGCTTTATATTTTTTGATATAGACAATCATCCTATCAGCAGATAATAATGGTTGCATTTTTTTCTTTTCAGTTCTTATACCTTTTATATCCTTTGTGTGTCTTATGGCATTGGGTAGAACCATTAGTGCTATGTTAAATAGAATATTAATAATTCTGGTAGTAAAGAATTCTCTAACTTTTATATATCACAAATATGCTTATTTCACCATCACTTTTGAAAAATAGTTTTGTTGAGTGGGAAGTTATTCCCCACTCCCAGGACTTTCAAGATGACATTCCATAGTCTTCTTTTGAAAAGATGGCTGTCAAGATTATTGTTCAGGTGGTGTGCATTTTTCTTTTTCTTCAGCTCCTTTTCATAATTTTTCTTTGTTTTTGATTTTTCCATTCCTTTACTATATGCTCAGTTTTAATTTTTTTGGTTTTATCTAGCTTGTGGTTTTTAAAGCTTCTTGAATATGTGGTTTGATGTCTTTCATCAGTCTAGCAAAATTTCAGCTGTCTGCCTTCTAACATTGCTTCTGCCTCATGTTTTTTTCTTCTCCTCTTCTGTAATCGAAGGGATATGTGGATTAAATTTTTCACCATATCTCTTATATCTTCAGTGCCCTATCTATTTTTTGAAAATCATATTTGATCTTTTTTATTACATGCTGGATATTTTATTCTGACCAATCATCTACTTTAGCATTTTCCCCTTTCTTCTTAGTTCAGTCTAGTGTTAAAATCATTGATTGAACCTAAACTTCAATTATGACATTTTTAACTTTAGAATTATAATTTTACTTTTAGAAATAGATTAACATTATGGTGAATTTTTAAAACTTATTACATTAATCACAGTTTATTTTTGATCTGCTGGATCACTGTAATAATTGGATCATCTGCATCTTTTTCATTGTTCATTTTTTCTTATGATCCTCTTGCTCAGTTAGCTTGATAATGTATTGAATTCTGGGTATTGTGCATGGAAGTTGTAGTTATATCCCTCCACATATGTGGATTTAGGGCATTTATGGAAAGACTTGAAATAAAATTTTTCTCTTTTTATCTACTACAATGATATCTATCATTATAAATCTTCCAAACATTTTACTTTTATCTCTCAAACTCCCCAGGTTGATTTTATAGTCTCCCCACCATTGGTAGCATGAGAACCAAGCTTGTTGAAGTTTATTACTGTTTCTGTTTAATTACCCTACTTTTTTTTTTTATCCTGGATACTGGCTAATGCTATAGGAATTTTGTACCTCATTAAGTTCTATTCATTTGGCCTAGAATTTTAAAACTGGATGTGACCTAAGAGTTAGTAATTTCTCTCAATTTAATGATGACTAAACTGTGGCTCAGAGACATAAAAAAACTTGCCTAACGCTATTAATGTGAATGCATAGACTAAGCCCAAAAGTTCTAGGATTTTGCTCCACTGTCCCTTTCACCATTAAGTGAGCTCATTTGGCATTAATGCAGGCAATGGTATTGTGAGGAAAACTACTTAATTTACTTATTCTCTCAGAGGCACTTTAGCAATACTCAGATTTTCTCTTCAGAATGGATATATAATATAAATATTTTAGCTCAATACTTTATAGGAAAGTTGAACCATTATAAAAGTAATGTAAAGATATGTATGGTATACACACAATATACATGCATAGGATAAATTATTTTTATACATAATTTTGGTCAAATTTGACCCAGATGCATAAATTATTTATAAACCTTTAAAAGATTACTTCAATTTCACCTGCTATTTCTCAGCAGTGTGATAGACCTATAGAGTTTTCTATAGATAGGAGAAAAATATATTATAGCATATTAAAATTTTATTCTGGTTTTGTAGCAAATAAAGAACATTTAGACTCCAATGAAAAATTAAATTTTCTAGTGTAAAATCTTCCTGAATACTTCCCAGTAAATTAGGAAGAGACGCCTCCAAACTACCTGGTTTTCTTAACCTAACTTCAGTGTCAATGAAGGGTTTTTATTTCTGCAGTGGGGCTTAACTGTAACTGAAATTTCCAGAGAAACTAGCTAGTGAAAAGTTCAGTCAATGAAGTAATCTGTGATTCTTGATTGGAAGAATGGTTTGGAAAAAGATTTAAAGAATTTTCTCTAGCTATGGAGCCATCTATAGAATTAAGATTAGAAAGTCTATAATTGTTGAGAAAGTAACCTCCAAAAAAGAGTTGGGCATTAAAAGACAAATGCAAGATGGTAATTCAAGGGCTTCATATAATCTAACAGATGAAAAGGTGGATCAAATGTCAAGAGTTTTGTTTTCTCCTGAAATATCTTTGTCGTTACATGAAAATACTATAAACTAAGAGAAGCATGTGATAGTGTTGATGACATTTTCTCCAGCTAGTATCTTTTAAAAAATATTTAAATATATACTGAAAATATTCTGTCTATACAATTACTATGCAAACACTGTAAATACCACACTGTCAGTTTGGCTGTTAAATACTTAATATTTGCTTTTTTCCAAGTAATTTATTTATACTATAGTTTCATATTACCATGGATCCGTAATAGAAAGTGTATCGATGTTAACTGATATTTTTGACACATTGATTATAATTTTCCTTTTTATTATTGTGCATTAAAATATTTAAAATTATCTGTTTGGTAAGTGGTCTTGAAAGTTGATTAGTGTTTAAATTCTTTAGTGTTTGGATGATCTGAATGCTAAGGGGAAAGTCAGAACAGTAGAGATAGTAAGATTTTTCCAAAAATTAAATGAATGATATATACTTTAATAATTATATCAGAAATAAATCCAGTAATATTTTATTTCTTTACATTACTACTTTGAATACTAGGAAACAAATTAATTTCAAATGACTTTGTATTTTTTTTAGTAATTCCTTATTGCTTTTCAAGCTATTCTTCATATTACCACTTTTCCACATTTGTTTTCTACATTGACACACACACAAATACTTCAAGTCCCATATATGATTTATACCAGAACTAAGGAAATATATTTGGGATTTATGCTTTATATGTAAAAGTGTCAAATAATAGAATTATTGATGTCCTGGACCCTTTATCTTCACAGATAAGGAAGATTTTGTAACATTTAAAGAATTCTAAGGAGTATATACTACAGCCGAATGTTAAATATATTTTCATTGGAAAGATTGGGGACATTTTCTTCTGGCTACATTTACTAAGTGATGTCTAAGTGGTATCATGCAGCAAACCAACTGGAGGGTTCAAAGAGATAAAATTCACATAGAGTTAGCCCAGTTAATAATGTGCTTTATTTTCACCCTTTTAATTCTTACTAGAACCCAAACATTTTATAGAGTAGTTTATCTACAGACATTAGGATTTTTATTTGTTGCATAAAAGCAAGGATATGTGAGCCCACAATTTATATCAACATGGACTTATAGATAATAGCAACTTGATGAAATGCTGTCTTAATGAATCTAATTAGAAAATTGTGTCAAGATGTTTACCAAAATTGATTAAGGCTTCTAGAAAATTTAAATCTCCACATTATAATTTTTCAGTGAACTGTAAAGGTAGTTGGGTGATATTGAGAGAAATTAAAGAAATGGATTTCAGCAATTTGAAAATCAGACTTCCAAAATGGAACTCAGACAAGAATACTATTCAAATAGTTTTAGTTACTTTGAAAATAACATCCAATATTAAATACTGCCAATAGGAGTATGAATTTGTTTTATGAGTAACATAAAAGTAGTATACAAACATAGCATCAAAATAATAAAAATTCAAGAATTTTAAATAAAATATATTGAAACAGAAAAGATAAAAAACTAAAACGTTTAAAGTCATCTAGTGAATCTATAAAGCCTCTCCCTAAAGAAAATAAATCAATAATTATCACTTTAGAAAAGATTGGCGTGGCACTACTCAATCAGTATTGATTTTGCGATGTTTAATGAAAATTTATCTTTTATTAAAAATTTACGGTTATATTTTGATTGGAGATAAGGGAAATAAAGAATACTCGAGTCATTGAAATGAGGAAATATTTAACAAATGTAAGGAAAATAAAGCATATCAAGGTAAAATACTCACCCTTTCATCCACATGATGGCGCTAGAAACCGCGTTTTTATTTTATTTTTAAACAAAGGAATACAGTACAGTCAGTTTACATTCCTTAGAAAAAGGCCACTCCATTTTTTCCTCAGCGGCTGAAGATGAAAAGGCGAGCAAGTAAAAATTAAAGCAAGTTGGGAATTAAGTTTCCCAAAGCTGTTGTGTAGTAGTGCAAAGACATTTGAAAATTGCACCAAATTTGCGATGGTATGTTCCCAAAGAAGTACGGGAGCCCGGCGTCTGCTGCTCTCACTTCTGCTCATCGCAGCCTGGGAGGCCGGGAGCGGCCAGGTCCACTACTCCGTCCAGGAGGAGGCCAAGCACGGCACCTTCGTGGGTCGCATCGCGCAGGACCTGGGGCTGGAGCTGGCGGAGCTGGTGCCGCGCCTGTTCCGGGTGGCGTCCAAAGGCCGCGGGGACCTTCTGGAGGTAAATCTGCAGAATGGCATTTTGTTTGTGAATTCTCGGATCGACCGCGAGGAGCTGTGCGGGCGGAGGGCTGAGTGCAGCATCCACCTGGAGGTGATGGTGGAGAGGCCGCTGAAGCTTTTCCATGTGGAGGTGGAGGTGAAGGACATTAATGACAACCCGCCAAGGTTCTTGCGACAAGAACAAAGATTATTTATTTTAGAATCAAGAACAGTAGATTCCAGGTTTCCGCTAGAGGGCGCATTTGATATGGATATCGGAGCAAACGCAGAATTGAGATACAAGTTAAATTCTAATGAACATTTTCATTTGGATGTGAAAACAAATGAAGAAGGAACTAACTCTTTAGGGCTAGTATTGACGAAGCCAGTAGACAGAGAAGAAACCCAAGAACTTCGTTTATTACTGATTGCAGTGGATGGAGGAAAACCTGAACTAACAGGTACTGTTCAGTTATTGATCAATGTATTGGATGCAAATGATAATGCCCCAGAATTTGATAAATCAGTGTATAACGTTAGATTACTTGAAAATACACCGAATGGGACGTTAGTTATTAAACTGAACGCCTCAGATGCAGATGAGGGTATTAATAAGGAAATAGTGTACCTCTTTAGTAATCTTGTTCTTGACAATGTAAAATCTAAATTTACAATCAATTCTAATAGTGGGGAAATAACGGTTAAGGGAGAACTGGATTATGAAGACTGTAATTTATATGAAATCAACATCGATGCTGTAGATAAAAGTCCATTCCCATTAACTGGACACTGCAAAGTAATAGTGAAACTCTTGGATGAGAATGATAACACTCCGGAGATGGCCGTAACTTCCCCATCTCTGCCGGTCAAAGAGGATGCTCCACCGGGCACCGTCATTGCTTTGATCAGTCTGTCCGACCGAGATTCCGGAGCCAACGGACAAGTGACCTGCACCCTGTCGCCACACGTTCCCTTCAAGCTGGTGTCTACCTTCAAGAATTACTACTCACTAGTGCTGGACAGCGCCCTGGACCGCGAGAAGGTGTCACACTACGAGTCGGTGGTGACAGCGCGGGACGGGGGATCGCCTTCTCTGTCGTCCACAGCCAGCCTGTCCGTGGAGGTGGCCGACGTGAACGACAACGCGCCGCTGTTCGCGCAGCCCGAGTACACGGTGTTCGTGAAGGAGAACAACCCGCCCGGCCGCCACATCTTCACGGTGTCGGCGCGGGACTCGGACGCGCAGGAGAACGCGCGGGTGTCCTACTCGCTGGTGGAGCGGCGGGTGGGCGAGCGCGCGCTGTCGAGCTACGTGTCGGTGCACGCGGAGAGCGGCCAGGTGTCCGCGCTGCAGCCTCTGGACCACGAGGAGCTGGAGCTGCTGCAGTTCCAGGTGAGCGCGCGCGACGCGGGCGAGCCTCCTCTGGGCAGCACCGTGACGCTGCGGGTGTTCGTGCTGGACGAGAACGACAACGCGCCCGCGCTGCTGCCTCCGGCTCCCGGCGGCCCGGGCGGTGCTGTGAGCGAGCTGGTGTCGCGGTCGGTGGGCGCGGGCCACGTGGTGGCGAAGGTGCGCGCGGTGGACGCGGACTCGGGCTACAACGCGTGGCTGTCGTATGAGCTGCTGCCGGCGGCGGGTGGTGCGCGCAGCCCGTTCCGCGTGGGGCTGTACACGGGCGAGATCAGCACGACGCGTGCCCTGGAGGAGGCGGACTCTCCGCGGCAGCGCCTGCTGGTGCTGGTGAAGGACCATGGCGAGCCGGCGCTTATGGCCACCGCCACTGTGCTGCTGTCGCTGGTGGACAGTGGACAGGCTCCTAAGGCCTCATGGCGAGCGTCTTCTGGCCCCGTGAACGCGGAGGCGGCGCTGGTGGACGTGAACGTGTACCTGATCATCGCCATCTGCGCGGTGTCCAGCCTGTTGGTGCTCTCGCTGCTGCTGTACACGGCCCTGCGGTGCTCCGCGTCGCCCACGGAGGGTGCGTGCGGGCCGGGGAAGCCCGTGCTGGTGTGCTCCAGCGCGGTGGGCAGCTGGTCGTACTCACAACAGAGGCGGCAGAGGGTGTGCTCTGGGGAGGGGCCGCCCAAGACGGACCTCATGGCCTTCAGTCCCAGCCTACCTCAGGGTCCCAGCTCTGAAGACAATGTGAGTCTCAAATATTTTATTCATGGTTATTTTCGTCATTTTTTTCATATTTAATGTTTAATATTTCTCTCAATTTTTTTTTATTTTAAACTAGAGGTCCCATGCATAAATTCATGCACTTGTGGGTCCCTCAGCCTGGCCAGGGATTGGGGTCGCTGGGGTGGCCAGTACCTTGGGAAGTTGGCTGGCCAGGGAGGTTGGCTGTGGGAGCACACTGACCACCAGGGGGCAGCTCCTGTATTGAGCTCTGCCCCCCTGGTGGTCAGTGCACATTGTAGCTACCGTGGTGGTCCGTGGTCCAGTCGTAATGGTTGCTTAGGCTTTTATATATATAGATTATGGCTTTGTACTTACCATTCTTTTAGGTGTAAGTTATCTGTTGGTACTATCTCATTAACTTAAAATTGCCTTAGCTGGTTTGGCTCAGTGGATGGAGCGGTGGGCCTGCAGACTGAAGGGTCCCAGGTTTGATTCTGGTCAAGGGCACATCCCCAGTAGGGGGCGTGCAGGAGGCAGCCAATCAATGATTCTCTCTCATCATTGATGTTTCTATCATTCTCTCCCTTCCTCTCTGAAATCAATAAAAATATATTTTAAAATATGCTTATATTTAAGATTAATTTTGGTTTGTTGGAGAGAATTGCTTTGTATTATAGAGTTTATTTCAGTAATATTCCCCCTCTTTATGAGGTTTTTATGGTTGTAGTTAATGGATTAATTTTTTCCAGGATAGAAAGTGTTTCCGGAATTAAATTTTTATAAATATTTTAATTTTCAATCTTAGGAAATGTAGGAAAATGCTTGTAAGACATATATTTGGAGTTATTATTTGTTCTCAAAGCCTGATACTATGGTACGTCAAAATGTTTTTACGTCATTGAATTAGTTTTCCTTTTGTTTTCCGTTGAATATCAATTATTTCAGTATTTTTGTTACACCAACTTAATTTATGTTTTTCAGTAATATTTGAGTATGGAATAATTCTCTTCAAGTTTATCTAAACAGTTAGGCTAGCATGCTCATGATGAATTTATAGATTAATATTTTTAGCTTGAATGGTTTCATTTTATTCATTCTTTAGTAGGAAATACATTTACATGGTTTAAAATGTTTCCCTCCCATCTCCAATATCAAGCCACTTAGTACATCTTTTGAGTATTTCAGATATTGCAATACCTTGGTTATCTTTCTGGAGATGTTTTCTTTATATACAAATAAACTGCCCTCTCCCATCTTATTCCATAGTATTCATCTTGCTTTTCCTCTTGTGTTCTTCAATCAATATATCTTCAATCCTTAAGTAACGACATATTGTTACTTAAGGGGATGTCTCATATTTCTTCCCAGATCGATCGTGTCCCATTTTGTAGATATATCATTATTTTTCCCCATCAACACCAACAGTTAGTGGAACAATGATTAGCTTTTGCCTAACTTGCACTTTTACAATTTATTAAATTATGTTGGTGAGATGTCATTGTGAAATCTCATAGTAAAGAAAATCTTAACATTTCTAAATTAAACTTTTGGTACTGCCCTGGCCGGTGTGGCTTAGTTGGTTGGGCATCATCCTATGCACCAATAGGGCTGGGCCCCAGGTAGGGTGTGTGCAGGAGGCAGCAGATGGATGTTTCTCTCTCACATTGATGTTTCTTTCTGTCTCCCTCTCCCTTCCTCTCTCTCTAAAAATCAATGAAAAATTTGAAACATTTTGTACTTATGGTTGCTTTTATGTTTTCTGATTAAAAAAATAACTGTACCATGATACAAACTTCCCTCTTGAGTTGGTTGCTTACCAATACAATGATGTATAACAAAGCTGTACATTTGAATCTACCATAGGCAAGGGTACCCTCCATCTCAAATACAGACAATTGTTTTTCTACAATTGTTGAAGAAAAACAACAACAATGTGGGTTTAGCAGGTAGTTAATATTTCACATTTTGTATTATAAAATGTCAATTCCCATTTTTATTGCTTTGCCTATTTCTTGCATTCTCACATGTATTTAATTTTATAAATACACTTGTATCATACTATTCAAATATTTTGAATATCCCATTACTTTGGGGGAAATCCTAGAAATTGAGAAGGGAGTTCTCACCAATTTGTTAGCAATTGGCAGATTTTAAAAAATCAAGTTAATTTAGTTTTAAAATAGAAATTCTTTGATTTATGTTATAACTGAAATCTTTCTTTGGGAGAGGAAGTTATTCATAGATTGACTAAGCCTTTTTTTCTATACATAATCTTCTCCCTTAACTAGAATGAATTATTTTTAAAATAGATTTTATTGATTTCAGAGAGGAAAGGAGAGAGAGGATGATAGAAACATCAATGATGAAAGAGTATCATTGATTTCCTGCCTCCTGCACACCCCCTACTGGAGATGGAGCCCGTAACCCCACCCCAACTGGAATGAACCTCCTGGTTCACAGGTCCACGCTCAAACACTGAACACTGAGCCACACCTGCCCCACTAGAATGAATTATGTATTTTTAGAAATAACTGAATACATATTTAAGCTGTTTCTCATGAGAGGACCATTTTCCTTTTCCATGTTAACTTATTTTACATAAATGATTTTAGAAACATTCTATAATGTTCTACTAAAGCCAATAAACAGAATCATTAAAATTATTATACTTAATAGAATTATAAGCTTTCTGGAAGTTGCTAGGAACTGTAATGGAAAGAGGTTTGATACTTAATTTTAATTAACAAATTAGAAAGTTGAAATTTGAAGAGACTTCATTTAAGGCAAAATTTATGAAACACCTTAACCACTATTGAAACACTTTAATAACAAGACTGCAGTTCAATATATCTTTTGTCAAGTCTTAATCTTCCTGCAAGCAAAGGACCCTTTTCTTTTGGGGTTATTATTGGGTAGCAAATGAACTATTTGCTTATTCAAAATAACTGCAATAGAAACTTAGTGATAAGAGCTACTATATTGATCTAGGTTATAATTTTAAGGTGTAACTTATTGGGGGGAGCTTTGATTACAGTTGTCTTGATGATTTTACAAGTATATCAGAATTTTAACAGAAGGTGTATGTTGGCATGTGTCCATTTGAGAAGTCTCTTTTTGTGACTCTGATTTCTCCTTTTGAGAAAGAGTTTAATCACTTCCAGTTGATGACATTAAGAATGAATTCATGGTGAAATTGAAAGTTGGGCTTTACTTTGATGTGAAGCTAACATTTTCACAGGTAAAGATGGAGGTAATTTTATAGAAGCAGCTTGAACAAATAATGTGTTGAAGAAGAAAACAAGTGATCTATATTGTATGTAAAATAGAATTCAATTGGGGAGTAGTTGAAAATAACAATGGAAAAGTTACCTTGTGATCACTTATCAGGTCATGTAGAAGTGATTCTAATTTCTCGGAATTTTTTAATTTAGTGCAATTCAATAAAAGCTGTAGTCATGAAGATAAATGCGATGGTATGTGAAAAGAAAAATAGACTCTAGGCAGACTTTGAATAGGGCAGGTAAGGAAGAAGATGTAATAAAAGGTATCATATTGGTGATACGGAGAATGTTCATGCCATTAAAATAAAATGAAAATTTCAAGGGTTGAATTTGGGAGTTAGTAATGATTTCTCTTTATATTCCTCAAATTGTAATTAAATTATTTTCCAAACCTATTTCCATTGCAGTTCCTAGCAATTTTCAGCATCTATGGGTGAAAATGACAATTATAACCATAGAAATGAGAAAGATGTAGGTTTGGGAATATCTTAAATAAAACTCTTAATTGAAACATTGGAAGTGGATGGGAACACTTAAATAAAAGCATATAAAAGGTTGAGGTTGAGAGAAAAATATGAGGCCATTTAGGGGCAACTGAAGGATCACAGCATCAGCAAACAATGGGTAGAAATTTCACTAGAATTAGTAATAATGGGGAAGTGTGTGAAGGAAAATGTTTTAAGGGGGAGGCCTAATATAAACTGCAGAGAAATTTATAAATGCAAAGAATATAAATATACACTAAAATCTTTATCTTCCATTATTAAGTAAAAGAGCCATCCACAGGAGTATTTGATATTCATTGAACAAAAAACAATAATGGACTTCAATAATCTATAAGGTTTTAAAATTTTGGATAAAATTTGTTCATTTAAAATTACATTCTTTTCTCAGAGCAAAATATAACAGCATGTCTGATGACTGAAATATAGGCAAATGTTTTTTTATGTACATAAAAAGTGTAGGATAATTTTCACTTCTGATTCCCAAACCGCGTTCGAATCACACTTAAATTTTCTTAATTGATTGATATATAAATTATTGGAAGGAAAGTCGTTTCACTATGAAAAAGTTGATCCTTTACCCTACTCTAAATTATAAAAGAAGTTAGACAAGATGAAACCGACTCTGCAAATGACAAACATGAAGAGATTTACTATTAAAGTAAAGCAAAAGAAGATTTAAAAAAAAAATAATTTAAAGAACTAGACTGCTAGAGCATAGCGCAGTTATATGAGTTCATTTCTTACTTACCCCTTGGAGCCGCATGATGTCGCTGTCTACCAGGAAGTTACATCTAGCTTCTAGCTAGTATTCAAACACAATCCTCCTATTACTGCATCCTTCCACCAGTGCTGAATGATGGCAGGCGCAGAAGATTTGCATTAACAGACTTGGATCACACCGTATTTCATCTCAATGCCGAGAGATCTTCTGTTGGAAATAAAACAAGTATTTGACATGGTTATTACCCTGGAAGGCCGCCTGGGATCTCGGTGTCTGCTGCTCTCGCTTATGTTCCTTGCAGCCTGGGAGGCTGGGAGCGGCCAGGTCCACTACTCGGTCCCGGAGGAGGCCAAGCACGGCACCTTCGTGGGCCGCATCGCGCAGGACCTGGGGCTGGAGCTGGCGGAGCTGGTGCCGCGCCTGTTCCGGGTGGCGTCCAAGGGCCGCGGGGACCTTCTGGAGGTAAATCTGCAGAATGGCATTTTGTTTGTGAATTCTCGGATCGACCGCGAGGAGCTGTGCGGGCGGAGCCTGGAGTGCAGCATCCACCTGGAGGTGGTGGTGGAG